TAGACACCTGAGCAGGGCAGGGGTGTGGGGGAAACAGCTCCATCTTCTTCCCAAAGTGTACCACTAAGCCAGGGTCTATTTTTTCAGAACACCTAGCATGCTCTTGGAAATGGTAACTTACAGCTGAATGGTAAGCTCAGTGACCCTGGAGGGACCACGCCCAGCTACACTGCAGCACCCAGAATAGTAAACAGTAGATGTGTAAGCCCAGCACTCGGGAGGCTGAGGCAGGAGGATGGTTGCGAGTTCAAGACCAGCCTGGGCTACATAGTGAGTTCAAGGCCAGCCTGAACTGCATAGTGAGACCCCATCTCAAAAAAGACAAAAAAAAAAAAAAAATTAATGCTACCTTCTGTTATGGATTAAAACTGGTAGGCAATTTAAAACCAGCTGAATTAAATCAGCATGGTGCTAAGTGTAGATGGCCCACCTGAGGAAAGTTGCCAGCATAAATAGAGACATGGAGCAGAAGAAGTTAGGTGTTGTGGGTTTCTGTAAGTGTTGCTTTTTGAGCCGTTGGTTCTCCTGGAGGAACTCGTCATGACTAGCTTCCTCAGTGTGAGTTTGACCACTGTCATCAGAGGAGCACGGGACCTTGTTGATGAGTGGCTGTGGTTCATTTTGGGGAAGCTCTGGTCCCTACATCAAGCATCACTTCCTGGCTCTGGAGAGGAAGATGTGTGCCATTTAATCTCCACAAGATGCTCATCACGCTGGCTTCCTGGCATGTACTCGACTGTTCTTATCATTGGAGGAGCTCAGGACCTTCATGTCACTGAGGATGGCTGTGGTGCTTTTCAGGACAGCCCTGGTCCTTGTTTTGAGCGTGGCTTCTTGATTCTAACATAGAACCCTCAACCTACCAGCACAGCTCCTTCACTCCACAGGCATGAACTTTCTGGCTTCCATGCTGACCTTTGGGCCTCGGATCCATAAAAGAGACTGGCGTGAGTCCTTCTCATGGGCTCTAGATCTCCAGGTGGACTCATGGGAGGCATTGTCATGAACTCTGGGTCTTCAGCTGGACTCACACAAGACATTGCTGTGGGATCTAGGCCTGAGGCTGAATATTCTGTGTCTTTTGTATTGGGGACAGATTCCTTGCACTTCTTGTGAACTCTGGGTGACCATCATAAAATAATATTCTGTTTAATAATAAAATTCTGTGTCCTGATTCTAATTGTTCTCCTCACAACCCCTGATTATAACAGCCTCTCTCACTCAACTCATTGTTTCTACCTATGTTTGGCTCGGGTCTCTCAGTTGTTTCTTTTTGGACCCATGAGCACGGGCACATCCAGTTGTCCTCCCTCATCCTCAACTTTGTTTCAGACATGTCAGTTCCCCACTGTGGACTGCTGTCTGAAAGTACCAAGAATCCAGGAAATAAACCAATCAGGCGCCTTATGTGCACAGTGTTCTGAGTATGGTGATGTCATCTCAAGCCTGCCTGGGATGTGGGCATCCTTGTGTCCACAGTATCTATGCTATATATGCTACCTGCTTGATAGTTGCTCAGAGGCAGCTCAATAGTCAGATAGACAATCTCGAGATTCTGCTCAAGTGATGCTGATTTCCTTAATAATGACCCCAAAGTGCAAGAATGGTGATGACAGCAGTTTCATTACAGTACACTGCTGTAATTGTCTTATTGTTAGCCTCTTACTAATTTGTATGTTAAATTGTATCATGTTATAAACGCTAAATTTTATCATAAATATGGGGAAGATACAGTATCTGAAGGATTCAGTGCTGCCTGCAGCATCAGGCAACCCCTGGGAGTTGTGAGATGGATCCCCTGAAGATAAGGGGCAGTGACTGTGCATGTTTTTATTCTCTCCCTTGTATTGTAAACACTGTTTTGCATCTTTTGTAATTGTCTTTTTTTTTTCTTCCTGGAGACAGGGTCTCACTATGCAGTTCAGGCTGAACTTGAACTCAGTTTGTACTCTGGCTGATCTGGAACTCACAGTGATCCTCCCACCTCAGTCTCCTGGGTGCTGGAGCTACCGGCGTGCACCACCATGCCCGGCTTGTCTTTCACTTAGTGTGTTCTGCAGATCATTCTACAGCATCATGTTGACATTCATCTTCACTCTAGTAAGGATTTAGTAGCATTTCTTTGCTGTCACCGTCATTTACTTCCTGTTTATGGGATGTATATCAGCAAGGTTCCTGGCTGAGCACAGAGGGTACTCTTGAAATTTAAAAATTATAAAAATAGAAAGGACTGGGGATGCAGCTCTGTGTGTAGGGCCCCTGGGTTCAATACTCAGCATAAATAAATAAAGCTGGGCAGAGCGAATGATTCCATAGGCGAGAAGAAGGCGGGTATTGGGCGTCAGGTGTGTGCAGACCAGGAGGCCCTGCTCTGGACCCCCACTTTGTGGTTTAGCTGTTGGCCTCCCTTCTTCCTGGCCTTCCTTGGCTGTCTTTCCAGGAACTCCTGCTGCCCCAGAGCAACACAAGGGCAATGACATTTCCAACTGGAAAGCTCAAGGGAGGCACAGGGAGGTCACACAGTAAAGTGGTTCGAGAGCCCCTGAAATGGATCTGTGCTCTCGGGGGCCCTCTCCCCAGCTTGCCGCTCTGGCCACCTCTCTAGCAAACACAGGGCTGCCTTCTTCCTCCTTGGCCTCCTGGGTAGCCAGAGGAAGCTGGATGCTGCCCACCTGTGGGGCTGAGGCTCCAACTGGAAACTGGAGACGGACCGTGAAGGATGGGAGGTGCCAGCCCTGGACTCTGCCCAAGCAGCCAGGGCTGGAGCGGCTAAGACACCCTGAGAAGCGGAAGTTTCTCTTCAAAGTCCAGGGGGACAGAGAGCCCTGTGATTTGAGGTGAGTGCAGTCAATAGGTTCTCTTTTCATTTTTTTTTGTATTTTGAGATACAGTCTTGCTAAGTCCCTAACTGCCCCTAGGCAGGGAGGAACCTGCCATCCTCTGGCCTCAGACTTGCACAGTGCTGGGCTTGCAGATCGTTGTCACTGCCCCCACAAGTCTTAACTGACATGTGTCCTTGGGGCACTGCTGGTAGGGAGAGGAAGACAGACATGTAAACAGCCATCTCGGAGCCGTGGTCTGCACAGAACCCAGAGCCAGGACTCAGAGACGCTTTCTTGAGGAGTCCAGGGCAGAGTTAAGAACTGAAGTTGAGGAAGGGAGAGTGCCTTAAGTCCCAAGAGGACTTTTCCCAGGCAGAGTTGCCAGTGCAATTGCAGAGTCCTTTATTAGAGTGCTTTGGAGGGTTGAGTGCAAAGGGGCGCAGAGAGATAAGGCTGGAGGGGGCTTGTGAGCTGCAGAAGGGGCTCCAGGGCTGTCTGGGCTGGAAGGAAGTGGTTGGGCAGAGCACTCCCACAGTCAAGCTCACCTTGAGCTGTTCTCAATACATCCTCCAAGTTGCTGTCATTCCCTGGGGCCCTAGCGATAGTGAGTGTTCCCTCCTGGATCCCCCAGCATGCCGTGCACCTGGGCCACTGTGCCTCGAATTGAACAGCTTTGTTGCAACATAACTTTCATATCTGATGTTACAGGCTGGATCATGTCTCTATGAAAACATGTGGCAGCCCTCCCTTCAGTGCATCAGGGTGTGATCTCTGGGGAACCATCTCTGAAGATGCAGTGAAGCTCAGCACAGTGGTGCCCACCTAGAATCCCAGCTACTCAGGAGGCTGAGGCAGGAGGATGGATTGAGCCCATGAATTTGAGGCAGGCTAGGTTTCATGGATTGACCTGCACTTCTTACAGTAGGATATGTTTATCACTTCAAAGAGAAGCCCCGTGACCATTAGTAATTTCCCATTTCCCCCAATACTCCTTTCCCTAACCTTCAGCAACCATTAACTCTGTCTCCATAAATTTGCCTATTCTGACCACTTCATATGAATGATGTTTTAATCCTTTTCCTGTTGTTTTAGCACAGTACCAAAAACCTGGAATCTGTAGAGAATACGAGCTTATTCCAGAGACTGCGAAGTCCAGGAGTCGGACACTCTCGAGGACATTCTTAGCTCCTATCGTGGCAACAAGTGTTGTGTGTTGAGACCACAAGCAAGCCAGAGAAAGTGGGCTTTGTCACATCCACTTCTGCAATAATCTGATATTCCATTCCCCTGCAGATGGATGGGTCCACTCCTGACGGCAGAGCCTTCTGGCCTGACCACCTCCTAAGGCTGTACCTCCAAATACCATGCACATGACTCTGGGGTTTGGGTTTTGAACGGATGAACTTGGGGACACAGCTGAACCATCCAGTAGGGTCTTAAGCACTATGTGGTCTTTTGTGATTGCTTTTTTTCCACTTTTTAAAAAATTTGGTACTGGGACTCAAACTCACAACCTCAGGCTTGCCAGACAGGTGCTTATGCCACTGAGCTATAGCCCCACCTCCTTTTTTTTTTTCAACTTTGATATTTCCAGACTTGGGCGGGTAACTTCCTGGGATGTCTTAGCTGTGTGAACACGTGCTTTTCTCTCCACCATATGTGGAGTTCTTTTATATAAACAATCATTTTTAATGTGAATAACAGTGGGAGGGGTGGAGCACACCTGTAATCCCAGCACTTAGGAGACTGAGGCAGGAGGATTGTTGCGAGTTTGAGTCTAGCCTGGGCTACAAAGTGAACTCAAGGCCCGCCTGAACTGCATATCGAGATCCTGTTGAAAAAAGTATTATTTTTTAAACATTTTAATCTTGGCAGCTATTAAGGACGATTGTCTTTTGGGGTTAAGGACCCAACCTGGGACCTTGTGCTTGCTAAGCAAGTGCTCTACCACTGAGCTACATCCCCCTTCTCCCAGGATGATTTTATATTTTAAATTGTGGTGACAGAAATGTAACAGAATCCACAGGGTGCATTCTTGGTAAGACAGCAGTGCAGTCATCACCGTCCCTGTGAGACAATGCAGGCCTGTGTGAAGCACAACAGTGACCACAGGGATCAGGTCCCCCACCCCCCTCCTGCCCTTTCTGTTCCAGAGAGAAGGTAAAGAACACACCCACAGACAAAGGCACAAGAAGATCTTATCTCAGGCTGTGAGCCAGGGAGTTCCATAAAGACAATCCCCAGAGCAGCCTCCGATTGGAGGGAATAAGGGCTGCTTGGAAATCCTGGGATCAAGCTTTGGAGCTGGGATCAGATGCAGACGGAGTAGCGCAGAAGAACAGCGTGCACCAGGCCCCTAAGATAGGAGAACACAAGGGTTTACAGGAGGCCGGCATGGGCAGGGCACGCACTTGGCAGGCAGTGGTTTGATCGGAAGCCCGGTCGGCTGCAGCTGGGTGTCATGGGCCCTGGAGGGCCACGGGAGTGAATCTGGACTTCGGTCTGAATTCTGAATTCTGAATAGGAAACTCACCCCTGTCTAACCCGGCATCCCTGGTCCCCCAGTTCCTTCTGGGTGGCTCCTCAGACCCCATCTCCTTCACACTGCATCTCTGAAGACACCAGGGAAGGAGGTTCCAGGAGGAGCGCAAGGCCTCGCCCGCCTGTGGCCCCTGCTGCCTCTGTCCTGGGTCCTCTGTGCATCTGCTCTCCGCGGCCTCCCTGCCCCTGGCATGGCTGACTCTGCCGCCTTGTGCCCAGGAAGCTCTGAACTCAGGCGTGCTCTGTTCCTTCCACGAGCGGCCGGCGAGCTTTGTCTGCTTTGCTTTTTATCTTTTCCCTGGTTTCCTTTGTGGTGGGGATTAAGTCCAGAGTCTTAGCGTGCCAAGTGTATGCTTGGTCACCGGACCGCAGTCCCCACCCTGCCGCCCTTCACTCTGCTTCTGCTGTCTCCTCGGTGGCCTGGGCCTTCTCGTGGTCTGTGTTTCTCTCATTCTCAGTTCTCTTTCTCTGATTCCCTTTCTTGGTTTTCATTTTCATTGTTTCTGAAACGGGGTCTTGCTATGTAGTCAGGCTGGCCTTGAACTCACTGTGTAGCCCAGGGTGGCTTCGAACTTGGAGCAATCCCTCCTGCCTCGGCCTCCGGAGTACTGGGATTACGGAAGTGTGCTGCCATGCCTGGCTCGATGGCCTATTTTAAGTTTAAAATGATACGAGTTGACCTGCTCATTGTGAATGCAAAGGTCTCTCTCATGTTTGCCTTCTGTTCCACTCTGTCCCCATCTGGGAGCTACCATTATTAGGATTTTCTGCATACCCCGATCTCTGCTCACAGCCCTCTTGTATATGTATTGACTGGGTGGATCACTGTCTTATTTTTTGTTTTTGAGACAGACTCTCACTGTATATTTCAGGCTGGCCTTGAACTCACTATGTAGTCCACATTGGTCTTAAACTTGCAGCAATCCTCCTGCCTCAGCCTTCCAAGTGGTGGGATTCCTGTGTGTGCCACTGTGCCCAGCTAGGTCCCTATTTCTCTCTCTGTATGTCTCTCTTTCTCTGTATCTCTGTCTCTGTCTTATTCTAACCCTACCTCACCAAAATATAGCTTTTGATAATTAAAAACATGACTTCCATACAAACCAAGATATAAGCCTAGTCAACTGATAAGCCAGATGGTTCATCTGATACAAGGAGAATCCTGAGAGATTGTGTACAGAGGTCACTGAGGGATGCTGAGGAGAGACCAACAAGTCATGCACAACACTGGCCAAGTCCTTGGGAGCCGTGAATCGAGTTCTTTTGTGTCCCTGAGCAGGAATCTATGGGTTAATATGTAACTTCAGAGCAGCGCCCTAATCAATAACAAACAGTGAACTGGACAGAGGTGATCCCCGAGTGGTCTCTGGACAGGCTTGGGGACCAAGGTCTGGTTGGTGGATGTGGAGTCATCCTATCATCTTTATTTATCTGTGTATGTATTGTTTTTTTGTCTTTTTGAGATAGGATCTCATCACGCAGTTCAGGCTGGCCTTGAGCTCACTTTGTAGCCCAAGCTGGTCTTGAACACCCAAGGATCCTCCTGCCTCAGCCTCTGGCATGCACCACCACGCCTGGCCCGTCTTTCTGTAACCTACCTGTGCCTGTCTCTCGCCCTCTCTCTGTCCTTACCCGTGTCTCCGCCTCTATCTTGATGAAGCAGATGCCCCGGTGCCTGTCCAGGGTGGTCCTGGAGCTGTGGGGCAGGGGCAGAGGGGCACCTGACCCCCTGCGGGTCCTACAGGCAGTTTCTCTGCAGCACTGGGAGGAGAGGAGCTGAGGGCCTGGGGACGTGGCAGGGAGAGGGGGCTGGGAGGCGCTGGGCCAGGCTGGGCCAGGCTCTTGGCTTCAGCAGCCTGGGGCGGAGATGATTTCACACCACAAAAATGTCTGAATCAGGAGAATAACGGAGTCCACGTGGCCGGCTGGTCGGTGCTGGGAGTGTTCAGCGGGGGAGGGGAACAGCTGGAGACCTCGCCTTGGAGTCCAGGGGGAACCAGCTAGGATTTGTCATGGCCCCTGGGATCTCAGGAAGAAGGATTTCTCCCACACTGCAAGTGAAAGGTCAGAGTGCAGGGTAGGAGAGGGAGAGAGGGGGAGAGAGACAGAGACAGAAACAGACAGAAGCCTCCCAAGTGGCTGCCAGCCAGCGTGAAGGAGGAGACAGAAGAGGAGGAGAGAAGCAAGCCCTGGATCTCAAGGCTGGGAGGCCTTCTGGCCCATGGCTTAGTCATTTTCAAGCTGTTTTGGGGGACAGGGGCTCACTCTGTAACCCAGGCTGGTCTCAAACTCCCACTAATCCTCCTGCCTCTGCCTCTCAGGCATTTTATTAACTGTAGAACCCTCGTTGATAATTACACTAGCCAGATAGCTACCATCTGTGCTTCTCATCTTGGTCCTTGTCACCTGCAGTTTGGAAACTGGGCTCTAACCAGGTGCCTTCATTTTACAGGTGATCAGGTGCGGTGGCGTGTGCATGTGCCACCACACCTGGCTTCCAGTGCTCTTTTTAGGAGGTTTGAAAAGATAGAAAAAAGAAGAGCCAGGCATGGTGGTGCGTGCCTGTAATCCCAGCACTCGAGAGGCTGAGGCAGGAGATTCATCATGTGTTTAAGATCAGGCTGGGCTCCATAGTTAGTTCAAAGTCAGCCTGAACTATATAGCAAGACCCTGTCTGTGAGAGGCTGAGAGAAAAAGAGAGAGAGAGAGAGAGAGAGAGAGAGAGAGAGAGAGAGAGAGAGAGAGAAATAGTCAGAGTTGGCAGGAAGCAAGAGACTGAGTCACTTTAAAATTTTCAAACCCGAGGAGTTAGGTACTGGTTTTTCTTCCTGAAGAATATGAGAGGGGCTATTTAGTTCTCTATACAATAGAAGACTCGCCTCTCCCGGGAACTACCTGGGCCATGTGTGTGCATGGCGTCACCGGGAGCTGGAGCAGCTGCACGTGACCGACAGCAGCCAAGAACAAATTCTGAGGGCAGAAGTCCAGGAATGTATTTCACATCCAGCTAAAAACCCTTAAATTCAAATGCAAAGCAGAACCAAAGTTACTGCGAATCTTAAGAAGACAACAAACACTGTGAAGGAGGGAAAAGTGGAACTTGGGCCTCTCCAAAAGGCTCGGCTCTCGCATCTCTGCAGAAGGAGCTGGCTGATCGGCAGCATCGTAAAAACCAGCCAGGTCATGTCGAGGGAACCACAAGATTAATAGCTCAATTGTAATTCAGTGGAGATGCATTGAATTCCCCCAGAATGCAATAAGTATTTTATAAAAAGAAGAAGAAGATGAAGAAGAAGAAGAAGAAGAAGAAGAAGAAGAAGAAGAAGAAGAAGAAGAAGAAAAGTGAGGAAGAGGATAAGAAGGTGTAGGTGGCCCAGCAGGAGATTTCTCCCCGAAGATGGATTTGGTTTAGAGTAGAGACCCTTGAGTGTGGGTCCAAAAGCCTGTATTCTTCAGCCTGTGTGAGGCTGTGCTTCCCCCGCTGTAGGCCCTCAGAGGGGCTGCTCGCTTCTCCAGTCTGTCTGCACCAAGATGCTGCATCTGCTCCTAAATCCTCCATCTGTCCTCTGGGGAGCTGCCCAGCTGGGGGACAGAGCCCCTTCCTACTGCTTCCTGAGGAAGGCAGATCTCAGGCTGCCTGCCCAGCGTGACCAGGCTTCAAGCTTGGGGAGCTGGGTTAGATGTCTTCCAAGCTCCTTCTCACCTCTGGGAACCCCCCCCCCCTTCTGTTGGTGGCCGGGACAGTTGGTATCTTTGGACAGATCACCCCTTCTTTCTAGGGCTCAGTTTTTGAATGGAAAGCCAGTGACAGCAAAACACACACGTCATTTCAGTTTTTAAAGGAGCAAAAATCATTTTGTTAGACCTGAACTCTTAGGCAGAAGTTCCGTGGGTTAAACAGATCATGCTGGTTGCTCTTGGCTGAAGCAGGGTAGGGGGTTGGGACCTGTCCCCTTGTGCTCTTTGCCCCCTTGAGGGTGCCACATCCATGGGGGTCTTAGAGGCTCAGGACAGGTTCAGGAGCATGCAGCAGGAGAGCCACTGGGGACAGTGCTGGACCCACGTCAGCAGAGGACAGGGAGGCAAGCTGTGGCTCAGGAAGTGGGGAGAAAGGGAGATGTGGCTGGAGCAGGCGTAGTGGCTGAGCTGCCTCACCCCATCTTCCTCCTCCACGGCTGGCCCCGCCCTGAGAGGATGGAGGCATGGACAGTATCTCTGGGCTGCCCTGCTGGTCGGCTGAGTCACACAGCCTGGCCGCCACATCCCCTTGCTGGCAGGTCCTCCCTATTCCTGGCTTCCAAGCTGCTGGAACTGAAGAGAAGTCTGGTTTGTGGGCCACGTCAGGGAATGCGTTAAGAGCTGCCACGTTGTCAGGGCTGGGCTATTGAGCCTTCCTCTTTTCTTTGGAAAGGATTTCCAGGTCTGTGGGGTTTCAGAAGAAAATTGGTGCCTGCATGCGAGTTGTTTCCTGGACCCGCACCAGTGGCTGCAATATTACAGACCTGGGGCTCGGGCAGGCAACCACCGCTGGACACCTCTGCCCCTGCCCAGGGCAGAGGGGTGGCAGCTGGGGCCAGAGGGAGCCCTGCACTGTCCGTCAGGGCTACAGGGCCTGGGAGAGGGCTGCGACACCAATGACACAAACCTATTTTTAAAAAGTAAATCTTTTTTTTGTTGTTGTTTTGTTTTGTTTTCTCTTTAAATTTCTTGAGATAAAAAGTAAATCTTAACATTGGGGAGAATGCTTGTCCACATCATCTGCTGAAGGTAAAGTGTGATTTAACAGCAAGACCTGTTAATAGGCCAACAAATTAGCCTGAGTCAGGTTTGAACACACTGTGTACTGAGTGGACAGGTCATCTGGCTTCCTGCACCTCTGTTTCCTCTTCCAAACAAGGACATGGGATCAAAGAAATGTTCCCAAAGAGTTGACCTGAGAAGCCCTTTGCTGCAGGATGTCCCCCAGGGGGATGTGGAACACAACTTGGAGGAGTGTGCTCAGAAACACCCAGGCAGGTGACACAGCTCCACAGGTGTCTTTTCTTCAGTGTTTACAAGAGTTGGGCATGTTAATGGGCCTCAGGGATCTCCACGAGGAAGGCGATGAATACCTCATTTCCCCAACTCATTTTGTCTGAGTTTTTTTTTTTTTTGGTACCGGAAATTGAAGTCAGTACCTTGTATTTGCCAGGTGGGTGCTTAGGCCGCTGAGCCACATCCTGGGCTCCCCAATTCATTTTGAACCTAGCTTCTCCTTTCTGGATGAGGCTGTAGGATTAACATTTTGTGGGATGCACATTGAATTAGAAGACCTAATCATGAGACGGACAGCATTTGTGGAGTGCTCGAGGCTCTTTCTCTTTTTCTCTCTCTCTTTCTCGTACCAGGAATCAAACTCACAACCTTGCGCTTGCCAGGCAGGCCCTGTGCCGCTGAGCTATATCCCCGGCCATTTCTCTCATATTTCTTTTCTCTTCTTTTTTTTAGACTAGATCTCTCTCGCTCTGTAGCCCAGGCTGGCCTCAAACTCAACATCTTCCTTGCCCTCTTGAGTGCCCAGGTCACAGGCGTGGGCCACCACATCTGACCTCTCCTC